TTGTGGCAAAGCCTCTGATTCATAATGGTTATTGCAATAGCAGATTACGTTATGTATCAATGGCAAAAAGTATGGTAACAACCAACTATTGCATTACGCTTATGCTTGGCTAGAACATATAGTATTAATATTATAGTAGGCTCGAATATTATAGTATTAATGAGTAATTTGTACAGGCACAGTTTTATGATAATTTATTTACTACCATAATTGACGCTTTTTTATTCGTTGTAATTTGCAGAAATAAATTGTGACTTGAAAAGGAAATATAGGCTATTTATTTTTCACTTACGTTATAGGTAAGAAATTAAAATTGACCCGGCTTTAACATTTTGTTATAAAGGTGCGTTGATTTCTGTTTACAAATTAGATGCAAACTACCTAAATGCTTCAATAAATGTATCATAATCTAAACATAATCACTATAAAAATACTCTTCACAGTTTATATTTACTATGTATCTAAATACAAATGAGCATTTCCGGCATTAGTAAAAATATCAGTAGAAGGACCAAAATAGTGTATAGGAATACGTTAGAAAATATTAATTGGTCACTAAATTAATAGAGGGGCCAACACAATTGGAAAAGATAATAATGACAGAAGATAAAAAGCATTGTAATGAATACACACAAAACATTTATGTTTCAGTTTGGTTTATATCAAAGCAAATATTACTTTTACTAGATTTAGTTTTAACCACGTTTTTGAATCCCAAACAATACACAAGGGATTTATAAACCACCTCATACTGTGGATCCACCTTGCTAAATTCCATCCCTCTTTTGTACTATATGAGAAAACGCAATCTGCTAGTAATTGTCGAACAAAAGGCAACCCCCAAAGTACTAGGGGAGGTTCCCCGCGCCCCTCTCAAAGAGACCTTGGGCGTTTTCACATCCTATACTACTTATTATGGGGAGTAATAATAAAGGGAAGAGAATTGCTCAGAAAGTGTGTAGACTGTGACGTTTTGTTGCATTGTTAAGTTTGACTAAGTGTGAATCATGTTCCTTTTGAATGTGTCTGTCTGGTATATAAATTGTGTGTATTAGTATTGACGGTTTGGTTCTCATGTTTAAAACTTATAATCTAAATGCACATCAAAATCGAATTGCAAACCATTGATTGTTGAGTAATATAGTGTTTCTTAGTGTTACCGAATAATAAAGTACACATCGTAAAATATGCTTAAAAAATCGCAGTAAACATTCTCTAGACGTACCTCTAGAGTGGTTGTCGGTTAAAAAAAATCTATTTCAGTTCAGTTCTTAGAATTGAAAAGTTTCACTTAGCTGTTTACTTTCATAACAGCATAGTTTTTCTCATAACAACACGGGTAACGGACCAATGACCAATTGAGGGAAAAGAAGTAAAATTGTAATGCTTCGAACGTCCTTGTCACTGGAACGTCCTTGTCCTTGTCAGTTGAAAATTTTAATTGTTGATCTTACTTGTTCCTGTTGATACTCGCGTATTCTTAACCTAAGTTGGTGGAAGTTAAAGGAAGGTAGATTAAGCTGTTTTAAAAATGTCAGTTAGTGAAGTTGACGAGATGGAAATGGGAGCACAAACTGCTTATAATGTTATAATATTCGATGCTGAGATCTAACTGTAAATTAACTCTTTCACTATAATCATTCAGTTGTCAAAAAAAAAAAAAATTAAATGCAAAATTTCCCTAATTGTACCTGATACAGTAGTTATGGTAAGAATGCTGCTAGCAGAACATATTCCCTGAAAAAGGTAACTTATTATTTAACGAAGTTTTACAAACACGTAATTACATGAAATCAGCTGATTAAACAATAAGTCGTTGCATCACTTTCAGTGGCACTGACAATAAACGAAAACATAACCTCTCTAAGAAGTTATGAATAGTGATTGTTAGTAACTAAAAACCAGATTATTAGTAATTAAAAACTGTCGTAGGTAAAGTAGTGTACGCAACTCGCCTTAATAGTCTTTACGACACTCGTAGAAGTGTTTAAGGCACTCGCCAAAGCTCGTGCCTTAAATTTTCTACTCGTGTCGTAAAGACTAACTTAATTTAATCGTTGCGTAAACTACTAATGGTTCATTAGTTGAATAACTTAACGTTGCTTTGGTAGATGTTCATTTTGGAACGTCCGAGAGTTGTTTTGTCTAAACCAACGCTGAACTGTGATTAACTAAAGAAAATAGGCGATTTTAAACATAATGGGACCTTGGAGATGTTATCAAAACAAATCGGCGTTTGAGTGAGAGGAGTAGGATTTTGGTCTCGTATTGAACAGAAGGGACAAAGCAATGTTTAGATACATAAAATATCCCCTAATATGTGTTTTATGTGAGATCCACGTCCAGTTAAAAGTAATTAGGTTACAGTTAGTTTAAACAAATCTTAAAGTAATCATGTCAAATGCAAGGAGATTTAAGTTTGATATTACAAAACTTTGTGAAAAAATACACAAAAGATGAATACCTTGAGCAAATATAAATAAGTCTGAATGCTTTGACTAGACGGGTGTAGACCATACGGCCTGACGTATGTGCACAGAAAGCTTATCTAATATTAAATCTCTAAGTCAATGGAGGCGGTGTTCTTTTGTTGTCGCCATAATAGGATCATATGAAAGGCTTCCTTTACATATTGTGATACAAAATAAGAAGAAACACTAATGTTGTATAAGGTAGGATTTTAGTTTAGTTGGAAGACATTTTGATTAGATATTTCAATATTTTAGTTATGAATATTATTTATTAAATGTATGAAATTATATTTTTATATAAACTAGCTGTTACCCACGGGCTTCGCCCCGTTTTAATTCATAAGTATTAATAAAACTATTGATTGGTTAAGTTAACCTGAAATTAACAAAATACAGTAAAACAAACAAATAATCACACCTGATTTTAATAAGGTAATAAATTGAAAGAATAACAAACAAATAAGTACAGCTGACGTATATTTAACATTAGGTATATGGAAAGTTCCCTTTTGAAAGGAATTACGACCTTAAAGGGCAATTTATGAAATAATGGATAGTTTTGAGCAAGGTTTCTCATCATGACGAACATTTTAAGTATATGGTTTATGGGGGTGTGACATGTAGTTTTCTCAAAAGTTCATGGGTACTTTTGGCTTTATATATAGATTTCCTGTGATAGACTATAACCCTGTGCTTGAGAGAAGAGCTCTCAATAGTGGGAAAACACTATTATGTGCACAACTTATCTAGTATATAACTGTTTGTTAAACACTTGAACACAAATAGACCTTCGAATACAAATTAAATTAAAAAAAAAATTTACATTAGGAACTGACATGGATTTTAGGGTATAAATTCTTACATATGAAAACCAAACTGAGAATTGTATACATATTTAGTTGAAATTGGATTGATAATTTTGCAGCTAGACTGTATTTTATAATAATCCGTTCTGGGGTGGTTTAACTGAAGGTGTTGATATAATAATAACAGTTAGTAAATGGCGATATATATTCAACACCTATATATGTGGAGTTAATATTTAAGTTAATGTGCAATGGATAATTGAAACCATTGATTTTTGTTATTTTAAATTATGCAACAGTATAATGTAGTAAGTAATAAATTCAAATATATGGTGAGCCCATCACAATTCAAACACTAGTTGATATCAGCGAGGTATTTCTTTAGTATTAAATAAATTCTTAATAACAACATGTTGTGATTTCATTATTACTCTCCATTTTCATCCATCAAATAGTTTTTTATCCTTTGAGGGACAAAACGACCACCCTTGTATATAAATATTAAAAACAGTTTGAGTAAAAGAAAATAATTAACAGTTACTGAAAATCACTGATCATTTTAATCATATAGACAGAGGGGGTTAAACAGGAAAAAATATTATTAATTTAATTTCTACGCATAAATTCTGTTAAAAACACGATGTAAATATAAAGTTGAAGAAGGAAGTGGATCTAATGACCGTTTGTTGATTCAATCCTCGTCCAGACCAACCTAATGGTTCGTCTAGACAGCCCGTTACGAGACATTTCTTTTTATAACTTTAAACAATTTTACATAAGTAATGTATGAAATTACCTATTCGGGTCACAACTATTTTTTTTTGTTTAAAATAATAATACAGGGTTATTACAAATGATGTTCATGATTTCATACATACATAAAATATAGTTTTATTTGATATACAAAGAAATAAAATGGTTACAACTTTTGAAAAACTCAAAAAGTTTCGACACAGATACAAAGAACTGTAAATGCTCGATAAGGGAACCTCTTGTGGTACGACAGATGTCAATAATGTGTCAAGCTCTTGCTAGACTTTGAAAAGTGTGTCTAGGTCTATTGTTTCGATAGCATTGGTAATCCGTTGCTGGATCTCAAGTATGCTATCTGATAGTAATGGTGGTGTGTACGCCTTATCCTTGATGTGGACAAGAAAAAAATCAGGGGGTGATGACCGGAGATCTTGTAGGCCAGTTCAGGGGTGTGTCATTATTCGGACCACCGAGCTCGTTCCATATCTCAGGCAGCACATTGTTAAGTTCAGCCCTACTACAAGTAACATTCAAATGCAGCCATTTCTCTTAGATTTCAAGTGTCACTTGCCAATATAGTGGTTACTAGGAGGATAATCGTTAAACCTGGTTCTAAGTGTCGTCGCACAGTAATAACAGATTGGTTAATGTAATATTCCAACTGGCAAAAAGCTTTCCTGCCTTCAAATTCAGCCATTACACAACACTTACAACAATTGACTTGACAAACAGCTGATATGCACCCTAACCAATGTAAATGAAACTTTATGAGTTTTTCTTTCCAATGGTACCAACTAAAATAGTCTTGAAACAAATTAACCCAGTAATATTTATAATCAAAATCAGGAACATCATTGTACTTACTGTGTTGCCTTAACAATTAAAACTAAATGATTCTTCTATGAGGCTTACTTTAATAACAAAGGTTTTATTTTTAAATATTTTGGTGAACTTAATCATTGTGAAAAACCTGGCCCTGTCTCATCATCTGCTTTTGCATAGCGTTCTTGCATATTAGTTTTAAACATATAGGTCCAAAAGTTAACCCTATTATGTCTAAAGTGACCTTTGTACTTTTTTTAATTTTTGTACATAAATGTCAGTATAATATTAATTAAGGAAACTGTTATGATCCTAATTTATACTCTCTAATCGAATAGAATCGTAGTAAAATCAGGATTGATTATGCAATGTTATCAGCTCGCTACATTGATTGCATTATAAATAAATGCATTTACATACGTTTATATAAACATACGAATATTAGCTTGTAGAGCATAGGGGTATAACTCTATGATTGTCTCTACGTAAAATTTGAGACAATTAAAGAGTAATATAAAACATTAAAGCGTAAAACTGACTTCTTTAGTTATAACTTGTTAATAATTATACTATGCAAGATTTGGGGTAAAAATGTATACTTGTAGTTGAGTGTCATTTGCTCATAACAACAAGAAAATTTCTGGTTATCTTAATTCTACACTATTGTGCATTAGATTTCATAATGTCTCTAAGGAAAGGTAAGAACTGCAAAGAACTTTCTAAAGTCAAAACTCTTTAGAGAATACGAAGAAGGTTCAGCGAGGGGAAAAGTTAGCAAAACATTAATTTATTTCTGGGTGTTCTTAGACCAGGAGGATTGAACGAGAGACATTTGTATTTCTGGTCGATTATTTGTAAAAAATGATTGGGGTTTTACTGCCAATCTTTAAAGTTAAACTTATGTTTATGTAGTTCTATAACTTATTTTGAAGAACTACATTGCAAAAAATTACTATTCTTGTAGTTATTCAAATTTAATAGATACAAACCATTTCTTTTTAAATCGTGGATAACAATACACATTTATTTAATGGTCACAGTGTAACTACGACGCAATAAAGTAATCGCATTGTTGTATAAGTTGTAGAAGAATGTCTGGACATCTGTGTATTTTGACTCATCAATGACAACTAGGATATGATCCTCGAAAGGAGTATTAGTGCTTAGTATATATTATGTAGACGTTCCAAATTAAAGTGAGGCTGATTCCATGGGTGTACCTTCGGGGGATTTTTAAGGAGCTTAGCAAAACTTTACAAGATCTAACTAGGTCTACTATGTCATGTTTCATCTCTTCCCAGTACACAACTGCCTTGAAAGTTGTTTCAAATTCGTTGTACGGATAAGTGTAGTGTAAAGTTCTCTCAAATCTTTTACTTTTAAGGCTGTGTGGAATAAAAACTCGATCATGCTAAAAGAGAATTCAACCAAGAAGGGTGTAGGGTGTGTCTTCGTTACTTGTTTGTAGGGTTTTTATAAGAGAATTGGAATGAGGATCGTATGATGTTGAACTTGCAATTATCTGAACCGAGGTAGTAGTTGAAGATTTTAAAAAGTGACTCAGCGTACAGACTATGAACTTCCCAATTTATTTTCACATCAGTTGATTTTGAGTTTGGGTAGTCTGCAGGTTTGCTACGGCAGGGGTATTTTTACTTATAGTTGAATCCAGATAGAAATAAATCATATTGAATTAATCGAACTGTTGTCATTTTCGAGAAAGAGTGGCCATTTCTAAAAGTGATACTTAAAGGCTTTTTATCTGTAACAAGAGTGAACTAGCCTCCATACTATTATACCCGGAAGAGACATATGTTTAAGGTAAAACTTGCTTATGGCAAATACACAATATTGAATACACTGATAACACTAGCATAGGTCTTCACGTACCTGAATCATAACTGAGACTGCCCCTTATCGCTCGGCTCCATCCTCTGATGGGTTATAGGGCGGACTGGTACAAAGTTCATTTTAGGCCCTATAGCCCATTATGCTATTGTTCTTGGAATGTGCCTTTTCCTGATTCTTAGTATTAAACTAAAATAAGGTTCTTCTACCTTTTCAAGAATATTAATATTGATTTAATAAATAAACTTTTACTTTATAACAAACAACTGGATTTTTCTAACAGAAAATATAATGGCAAGTGCCTCTCGATCTGGTTGATTATAGTTTCGTTCTGCGTGTGTGAGTGACCTGGATGTGTAAGCAATTGGCGTTCATTACGTGAATAGTGTTCCTGCAATGCCAACAGGATTGCATTGCAAGAAAGTAAAACTGGCAATTTTGGATCATAAGCAGTCAGCACTTTCTTAGAAATTATAAAAATTACTTTCTTATAACTCTTAAAACAATAACAGTTTGTTTAAACATTTGACATGTTAATTATATTTAACACAATTGTATCCCACAGATGTACGTTGCAATGAACTAGCGTAGATTTGAATTTAATTCAAGTTTTTGTCACAGGACAAAGCTGATGAAACACGTTGTTATGGCAACCGTCAGATTGTCTGTCTGCAACGTGACAAAATCCTATTGTTATTTTCAACGATTGATTTTACTGACAAACTTTTCTGAACATTTGATCAATTTAGATGCTTTGTTTCATTAAAATTTAATAGTTACTTGGTTTAAATATTTTAACAGTTTTTAAGGATTGTTGATACTGTTATTATAACGGGTAGCACAAAAAAATATCAGTTTTATTGTTAAATTACACCTCACAGTAATTATTATATATCAGGGTTTTGCAAGAATTAGCATTCAAAACTAGTTCGATAGTTTATTTATAGTAAAAAACCCTTAATTTATTTATTTTTATGGTTACACCATTTTTACAGAGGTGACAAGCTGATATTGATACAATTACAATATAGAAAGATTGAGATTAAACAACAAAGAGTAATAATGAATGCAAGTGCAATGTGAAAGGAGTCCTGCTTTTTGATGATATTAATGAAATAAATAAAAGAAAAACTAATACTTATATAAAAATTAATCGCCAAACAGTACTTATGTTATATTTGTTCTTTATACAACTTTACATACTATACTCTAGTTAAGAAACATTGCTTTTACATTCCATGCCATGAGTGCGGAAAAATGAGTAAATTTGCAACCAGCTATTTGCTTTTCAGCAATTAGCTTCTTTGCTTGGAATGATCAGTGCAAAAATTCCACTGATAATTGTAGGAAAATAACTATTGTAGAAATACTGCTAAAAGTGTACATGTTGTATGTAAGCCTATGGATTTGTTAGTCATTGTATCTCTTGGTGAAGCTTAGTAGACGAGGACTATAATACATAATTACGTAACTACCTTAGTTAGATCTCGTCACCTAGCAACGTGACAAAACCTTAACTGAGCAAGTAATTAGAGTTAACTCTGTCCAATGTCATGGTACAGAGAGCAAAGTGAACCCACACAATTATTGTAACAAGAATGTTTTTTTTTTAAACTAGACAAAACTGCGATTGAACTTTTAGACACACATAGAGAGTTGCTGTTTTGATCTTTGAACATTGTATGAATTCAATCGAGAATTACATAAGGCTAATTTAAATAATATCTATAAGATTTCTGTATCACTAGAGATGGGGTTACGCTAAAGGTTATTCTTCCAAAATTTGACTTATAAGTGAGGTATGAGGAAGATGCCTTTTGTAGATTTTTTAGTTACCAATATCTGATTTTTTCATCCAGTGATTTTTTGTGATTTTTTATAATTAAATATTCTCAGGAGAACTGTACCCAGGCAACCAGATAAAATTATATTTTAGAAAGGGAAGATTATTAATAACATGAACATATAAAACGTTAAAGAGAAATTAAAACCACTATGGAATGAGCTGAATGTAACAAATAATAATCAGGAAATAAAAAATACCTATTACTATGCCATTAATAATAACTTTAATGCAAGTTATAGTACACGTAAAACGCAAAAGTTGGAAAAAAATAGTTTTTATAAATGGTTATATATTTACTAATATAAACACCTAAAATAAACCAGCTTACAGAGCATGACCAAATGTTTAGACATTTATAATACAGATCTAAAAATAGTGTAAAAATGTTAAACGAATATATGTAATTAACGTATTGTGTTAGTCAGAAAACAACTCTGAGGGTACTCGAGAAAATTTGCTGGAGTTAATTGAAACTGAATGAAAACTTGGATGAATACAACACTCGGAGTTCTTGGACAGCTCCGATGTCAATATTTGAGCACTGGAAACTTTTGCAATATACTTTGAGAGAATTGTTTTAGTTCTTTAATTTTTCATCCCCCAAAAATATATATTTTCAAATGGATTAATGAATTTTAACCATCTGGACTAATATGAAAGACAAAGTTCACATGATTATCCACGATACATTTCTGCCCTCTGATTAAAGGTAGTTTATTTATTTCCAACGGAATATTCCAATTTATAATTGTATTAATGATATTTGATAGTATTCTTCTTGCAAAAAAAAATAAACATGAATACAATTTTTCTGATGTTTTACACTATTCGAAAAAAATATCATTTGTATGAACAATCATCATAGGTTATAGCTATTCAAACATCCATAATGATAGGTTTGTAATCGTCTATACTATTAAAAATGTATAAATAAAATAAATACGTCCATTGATAGATTGGTTAATTTTTTCATAATACGAATACAAATTGTGTTTTGAACAGATATGAATAATAACAATAAATTAATTTAAGAAGAACAAAGTTTTATCTGAGGCTAGTTGTTCCAGTTAGCCAGGGCCATAAATTTAAAGATCAACAATAATTATTGATAGGTCAAAATCCAATACATTATCTAGAGGCAAAATCGTTCAAGTAGTGGATGGTTAACGTGGATAACGACGATAATGACAGAAACTTCGACCAGAGTCACGGACTGAGCAATTTTAGACCACTTGGTTAGCGTGCTTCACCAAAATTACACGCTTTTAAATTGCCTGTTGACGATTGCATGTTGAAGACTATTGAGCTGTAGTTTTAACCTCAACTGCTGGAACTACAAGAGGCTACTATTTAAGTGAGAACAACAACGCTCAGCCCTTAATCATTAAACAAGTGTTTTGGATAATGTCGGCACATTATTATGCAATAACCTCGCCACAGCAAACCTGCATACTAAGCGA